TTAGTTTAGGGTTTAGTTCAGGGTTTCGAGAAGAGTTTGCCGACCCATGGGATGTTCACGCTACACCGGAGCGTCCGAAAAGATCCAGGCCTCAACTACTACCTAAGATGTACCACGATATTGCCACATCAGCGCGATAGGCTTCGGATCTGACCGTACGAGTGCTGCAGAGTTTCGCCCTGGTCAACCCTGTCAGGGTGGGGTTCGGGAAGCTACAAAGACTTCAAATTTTCTACCTCTCGGTACATGGAATGGTGGGGGGGGGGGCATACTAAACTATTCTGCAAGCCATATCTACTAGAAAACCATTTATAATGACTGAACCCTAAACCCAAAACTGAAGTTCTCAAAAACTCCTGGGATGCCCAACTCCTCTGTTGGATGGAAGGCCGAGGATGTGGCAAAGTACAAGTTCGTCACCAGATGCCGCACCTTCGCATGCACCCCAGACGCGTGCTTACGTGCATTCCTTGCTTCAAGCCCTCTTCTAGACTTTGAAGTAACCAGGGAGAAAAAAGTATAGACTGTAATTTCATAATGGATCCCTTAAGGAACAGGTCCCAAAAAAATAGTCTTCCGTAGTTGTTGGGGCTTTCGGCGGGGAACCTTGGAGTCCTCATATGGTGTAGGGGCCTTAAGGAACTCGTCTAAGGCTTCCAAGCCTTTCTTCCTGTAAACATGGCTTAAGGTGTATCCAAAAACCCTAGACCCCAAGCCGTATGCTTTCAAGGACAGCCGTACAAAAGGACTTGAGAAGCTGCTTCCGTTCTACTCGAAGAACTGCAGTGATGGACAATATGTCTGAGGTGACAAGGGAGCACAGGTGCTGATCGGGTGCATGTGTTTTCCATGCGTATACATGTGTATATACATAATACATATATATATATATACACATGGTATGCATGCCTGTGTGTACGTGGATAAGTGCGTCTAGAGGATCTGCATGTATTCATGCTGTGTAGCTATGCATTCTATGTTGTACGCAGGCTATTGTGTACATATACTATACTTGTCATACTATACTAAGGCGTCTCATCTCGTCTTGTTCTCGCCGCACAATGCTGCTGTTGTTGTTGCTGTTGTTGTTGTTGTTGTTGTTGCTGTTGGTGGGGTGTGTGTGTGTGTGTGTGTGTGTGTGTGTGTTTGTGTGTGTGTGTTTGCGTGTGTGTGTTTGCGTGTGTGTGTTTGCATGTGTGTGTTTGTGTGTGTGTGTTTGTGTGTGTGTGTGTTTGTGTGTGTGTGTTTGTGTGTGTATTTGTGTGTGTGTGTGTGTGTGTTTGTTTGTTTGTTTGTGTGTGTGTGTATTTGTGTGTATTTGTGTGTGTATTTGTGTGTGTATTTGTGTGTGTATTTGTGTGTGTATTTGTGTG